CATGTGCTCTCTCTCTCAGTCTCTCTCTCTCAAATAAATAAATAAATAAAATCTTAAAAAAAAAAATACTCAAGGAAAATAATACGGGAGGGAAAGAGACAAACTTAACTGCTCTCCTTTATCTGCAATGAAAATGAAGCACGTTTCTGAAAAAACAAAAAGCAAACACCACCACTATTCTAAGACAGATGCAAAGAATGCTGTAAGTGAATTAATTCTTCTGAATACAGTGAATCAACTTGCTATCTCTGTACAACAGAAGAACTGTAGGAATAAGTGTACAGGTACCGCCACTGAAATGGGAGTGGAAAAAGGTTCATGCTTGGCTTTGCTGGCTCCTAGCTTTATTAATTTTGACAACACATAGGGAGATCTTGGCATTCAAAAAGTTAACATTAATATTCACTCCAGAATGGTTAAAATTTCGAAGTCCATAAAATGTAGTATTATGTAATTCTCCTGAAATGGGAATTTGAATCATGCCTGTGTCAGGCAGACTATGGAAATAAATCAATCACTTAGTGAACGAGTAAGCAATGAGTTCATAAACAGAGTAACTGAAAATATTAAAGAATTCTTGATATATTAAAAAAAAAAGTGATGCTGCACAGTGATTTTCCTAACCTCCGAAGAGAAAACTAATAAGCCCTTAAGCCCCAGAAACATCTATTTATGTTAGCCACGGACTTACTTTTGGAGGCTTTTGCTTAACTTTCATTCCTTACTCTATCACACTAATAGCTCTGGATTTATTATATTTCTAACCCTGCAGAATAGTGCAGAATGTGAACTGAACTTTATGATTTATTCAAAGGTAAATATACTTTTTCATACTTCAGTTTACCTATTCAAATATTATGATGATCTTTATAAAATACAAAGCACATCATAAATTATTCATTTCAAGAAAGTAAATAGGCCTTCTAGTCTCATATGTCCAAACAGCATGGGCTTCCTCAATGAAATAAGTTTTCTCTTTTGGTGCCCACAAATTTAACCTAATAATTCTACTGAACTTTAAGCGTTTTTATTAAAGACAGAGAGAGAGCAAGAGTATTCTGGGCTCCAAATCTAAACCCTAAGCTGACACAGTACAGGTTAACTCCTGTGCAGGTACAAGGACCTCAAATATTCATGTATCAGAACCAGCGAATGAGAGAAACTATATAGTTACAAGTTGGGTACAGTTCATGTCAGCTTAATAAACCCAGGAGCATAGGGAGCTGATAAGACAGAGGTGGTAACATCTCTTCTCTTAACTGAAGCTTGTTCTCTATGTTGTTAAAAGTGTCCAATCTACTTTTTTAGAAAACAGAATAACCTATTTTAATGGCCTATTTTCCAGGTGTGCTTTAGAATGCCAAATAACGTATTTTTAAAACATGCGACTTAATTTTGCCACTCAAAAATTAATATCCAGTGGTAAGCAGGCAACTGCTATTTGTTTGTGCTCTAAGATGACACCACTTAACTCAATTTTGTTCTCTGGTGGTACTACCAACAACTTTCTTTATGATGCATTCATTCTTCTCACCCAAAATAGCCTCTTAGAGGAAAATGTGAGAATTCAAGACATGAGAGCATATTTCAGCGTTAGTAGTTTATCCACTCTCCCAAAATATTCCATGATGTTGGTCAAAGAAAAGTAATATTGTAAACTCGTTAAGAAGATAAAGTTAGAAATCTAGAGCTGCTCAGTAAATCTTGATAAAAGCTGAAAAAAAACAGGAAAAAGATTATGGCGGGGACAGTTATTAGAAAGAATGAGTAAATACAAAAAAATGGAGAAGTCAAACACAGGGAAAGAGGCTAATATGGAGGTTAGAAGTCAAAGCGTAGTGTTCTACAACAGCTTACAACTGTTTATATAGTACCTAGACATTTAAGTATACCTCACTTTAGAACACTTACAAAGAAGTGTTTCAGAGAAACCGAGTATTTTCAAAGTACCAGGAAAGCTTTAAAATCAACCAAGCACAACCAACTAAAACCAAAAGCAAACCCTTCTCTGAAGCTTTTCAAAAAGTGAAGTATTTTTTGTAATACAAATCACCAATTCCTAATTTAACTGCTTTATAATTTCAGATTTTATATAACAGGCTTTCATAAAATACGATACACACATGTAAAATCTCATCACTAAAGAGAGTAATTTAAAATTAACTATTATATGTGAAAATAATAACCCTCAGTTAAAGTGTCCCATTATCATGAAAGGCTGGTTAGAAAATAATTCATAAATCTTTACAGAGGACATCAAACATAGGTCTAGAGGAGTCCATTATCAAAATAGCTTAGGTGGACACACAAATACCAGTACTAATTCTGTACTACAAAATCCTTCAAGAGTCCCATTACAACTCCATCTGTTACAGAGGATAGACGGAAGTTGTCTACTGTATCTCAAAGAACAGGAAAAACTGTAACAAAACAAAATACACTTTAAAAAAAGAACAGAGTAAATCATGTTAGAATTTAGTGTTAAAAGTAGTTTGGGGTTGAAACTTTTCTGAGCAGGGGCATAGACAGATATGACACAGTTAAAAAACACAAATGCAAATTACATATATATATATATTTATATTTATCCCTGTAACTGAATGGCAGGGGTCTGAAGCACCTTGATACTATTCCAAAAAACGAAACAGTACACAGTATGATAGCAGCTGCTACCAGAATGGGCTTTTCTCTGTCCTACCTCACCCCACCCCAGGAAGACAACTTCACTGAAGCTATCTATCTTTGATTAGTTCACTATCCCAATTTTAGCGATTATTCAGCCTATTAAAAAAATATGTAATGTGACAAAAAGCAGAATAAAAAATTGGGCCAAAGAAAAAGAATTTTACATCTGTCAGGAACTTCATTTTGAGTGGGAAAATCTACTCTATCATTAATTTGAAATGGTTTGAACTAAAAATATGAACTGTAAAAACAATGAACTGATTACAATTTCATAGTTTACAAATCAGTACAAAGCTATACATTATAAAAATTGACTATAACAACACATAGCAACATTTTGATAAACTATATCACTTCATACTATTACTGATGATTAGGCTCTTCTAAATTTGCCCATGTACATATATTAATTGAAACATTTAATCAAGCATTTGATAGCTTAAAAGTTAAGCCAAAGAAACAAGTTTGTTATTAATTTATCCTTATTTCAGTTTATTATAAATGGATACAAACAATATGGAAATTTACATTTCATCTTAAAAATGAAGCATTTTTACAAAAACAATATTTAAACAGAGTAATCCCAAGACCCTGAATATCTGGCCAGGAGTCACTTCTCCACTATAGGGACATGGTATTATCAGCATCTCAATGTTTGTACGCTGCCACAAGGTAAAGGAATGTTATTTTAATATATTCAACTTAAAAATACCCGTCTTCTTTTGTCTAAACTCTGGGTACTTTCTCTCTTAAGATGACCTCTCCAATAAGAGACTTATAATACAATCTCTCCACAACCTCTGGTAACAAACTAAAAATTGAGCATATGCTTCACATACCTTTTTGAGATGTCCTAGTCTAAGTTTGAAAATTTCTTCCTGTTCATGATATTCTGCCAAAGTCAACCTGTCAAAAATGAGATGTAATTCTAGATATTAAGATTAATAGTTATTATTTCTTATTAACAACCAGCAAAAGAAGATAAATAAGTGGAAATACTACAATGCTGACAACATTTATCCCAAAATAAGCCAAAAGTCCTTTACAATGTTCTTCAGAATATACCTAATACTTACAGATGGAACAACTAATTCATAAATTCAGCAACTATTTAATGAGTGCTATGTATTAAGTGATGTTCCAGAATTTCAATACTCAGGGTACAATGAAAAAGACATTTTCTCCTTTCATTTTAGTTCGAACTTATACTCTATAATCCCCACTGAGGCAGAAAAGAAACAATTTAATAAAGAAGTAAAATAATCCCAAATAACAGTAAGTGTTATGAAGAAAACAAAAATGGGTGGCATGATAATGAGATTGTATTACAGTAATTTGTACCGAGTGTTAGGGAGGTGGTTTTGATCTAAACATCAAAAAGACAACTACAAGAGAAGCTGGGCGAGTTATGTTCTAGACACAAGCTACAGCAAGTGCAAGGATGCTACAAAGGACTCAGGCTGGCATACTGTAAGAAGAGAAAAAAATGTCAGCATCAAAACAGCCAGAGAGGCTGTGAGTAGTAGGAGAGGCAAGCAGGGGCCAGCTTATGTATGGACTTCCAGACCAAGGAATGAATTTCATTTTACTCTAAGAGTACTGGAAAAGTACTGCAAAGAGAGTCCATCCAGTTGGGTACTGGTTTAAAAAAAAGGAAAAATACTAGGAAGTTTTTTTTCTTCTTCCATGTGTTAGTGAGGAAAAGGAATGCTAAAACTATCGTCAACACACCAAATTCTTAATAAATATAAATAGATGTAAGACTTTCAATCTTGAAAGTACTTTACGGTTATTTTATTATTCTCAAATATTCATATATAACTTTGAAATATAACTAGCTTAATATATGTTGAACCATAATAAGACATAAACACTTTAATAACATTTCCTGAGAAAAAATTATTGTTTTCTGATAAAAGAAGAAAACCACTCTCCAATAAAACAACTTCCATTTCATACCCCAATACTGAAAGAACTGCTTTTATCAAGCCTGTTTGTTTACTCATGTGTTCTGGGGGTATTTGGAAAAGCTCCTAACCAGGTAAGATATATTTATGTTTATTCAGGTCCCTCAGCAACATTTAGTATAAATGTTATTCTCCTTTAGCTAGATATTAGTTAAATTTACTAATTCTAAAGAAAGGGTATTAAAAGGAAACAAACAAAAACCTCCAATAAATTCAGTTAGTATTCCACTAGAAACATCTTAAGAGTGAAACATTAAAATTAAACCTGTCTACCCAGTCTTTTTTTTTTTTTTAAGGATTTTATTTATTTATTTGAGAGAGACAATGAGATAGAGAGAGTATGAGAGGGGGAGGATCAGAGGGAGAAGCAGACTCCCCACTGAGCAGGGAGCCCGATGTGGGACTCGATCCCGGGACTCCAGGATCATGACCTGAGCCAAAGGCAGTTGCTTAACCAACTGAGCCACCCAGGCGCCCCCCTGTCTACCCAGTCTTAATACAACTGCTGGATTTTATTATACTAAATATAGCAACAGTGGATAGTTGCAGCAGATGCTTCAAGTAAACTTAGAGAAGTGTTACAGTGTGACTGCAGATGGAGTGAAAGGAAAAGGGAAAGGTGATCTTAAAAGGTCTGGAAACTAAAACGGATAAAATCTCAACTAATTCAATAAACAAAAGCTATAGGAATTTTTGGCAATAGCTTCTGGATAGGCATATATACCACCAATGAAAATTTGGTGCAATTTGAGTTTCCTAAAATTTTTGAAATTGCATTCTACTAAGAAGTCTGGCTCTCATGCAAACTTGCAAAGCCCTTACATATGCAGATGGCTGGGAATTTCTGCAATTTGGAGGTAAGCATATTTTGCTGTGTTTAGTTGGTGCAGTTTTCAATAGCAACTATTCCTGTCAATTAAAAATGAATTAATATCTATTCCATGATGATTTAGTTTGTTGAATATTGTTTGGTTAATCTTATAGCATAATGTAATGCATTATTTGCTATTTAATAGCACTTAGTTCCAGTTGTTAATACGTTTTATGTTATGGTTCAAATCATCCACATCCCTATAGCTAAAGCAAATGCATAGATACTCCCTCCCCAAATTTTCTTAGTAGAGTGATACTTCTTTATTGATTTAAAAAAACTTTAAACCCCCCCAAAAGGCAAAACTTTAACCACAGAGAATTATTTCATAGATCTACTACTCCTGATATTAAACACATACAATTCTCACTAAAAACTAATGGTAACTTTCAGCAGCAGCAGAACTATACTTCCTGCATTTTGATTACTACCACTATAACTACTATTAAGCTTTAAATAAATAGTAAAAAATAAATATTGATCACTTTCTCTCTGCTTGGTTTTGAAGCATTAATAAGCAAATTCTGCAGGAAGTACTAAATACTATGACACTCAATTTCTAGGGCAGTGATTATTACTATTTTATGATCGTGGGTATTTAAAAGTAATCTAAAGGAATTTATAATAAACACTCTCTCCGGAAAATTTCACATATACATAAATTTGGGGGTTCACAGCTCTCCGTTTAAGAATTCCTATCCCAGGTTCTTGTCTCACCAATTGAATGCAAACCTCAAAACAGCAAAAGAGACATTTCTTACATTTCTCTGCATTTCCCTATCAGGAAGTATCTGACATATATTAGAGATTTTAAAGATATCTCTGTTGTCTATTTCCATTAATGAAAAGTGTTTTTACATAAAATGTAAAATATCTGAAAATGAAAAAAAAAATAAATTTAGATCAAATTAACCTAGGACAATCCTCTTAAAAAATGAAAAGAGGGGGGCGCCTGGGTGGCTCAGTCGTTAAGCGTCTGCCTTTGGCTCAGGTCACGATCCCAGGATCCTGGGATCGAGCCCCGCATCGGGCTCCCTGCTCCGTGGGAAGCCTGCTTCTCCCTCTCCCACTCCCCCGGCTTGTGTTCCCTCTCTCGCTGTGTTTCTGTCAAATAAATAAATAAAATCTTTAAAAAAAAAAAAAAATGAAAAGAGGGACGCCTGGATGGCTCAAGTCAGTTAAGCGTTTGCCTTCAGCTCAGGTCATGATCCCAGGGTCCTGGGATCGAGTCCTACCATCGGGCTCCTTTCTCAGCAGGGAGCCTGCTCTCCTTCTGCCTGGCGCTCCCCATGCTTGTGCATTCGCGCGCTCTCTCTCTGACAAATAAATAAACAAAATCTTAAAAAAAAAGAATGAAAAGAGCTAAGGTAGGATTATGTTAATTTTAATGGCATTCAATTGCTACATAATTACTTTTATGATGTGTTTTTAAGACCCTAAAAAAATTCACACTCTTAAGCAAGTCTCAGTTGGTTAGGTTACTTAGCAAATCTTTTATTCACAGATAATGTGAAGGTCAAGTCTAATTCCTCCCTATATGAATCATACCTGATATTATAGCCTGAATGATTAATATTTTATTGTGTTCAAATATACATATGTGTGCTTATTTAAGGGCATACTAAAGCTCCTAAAGTAGGTTTATATAAAACTTTAAAGATTTTATTTATTTGATAGAGAGAAATAGAGAGTCAGAGAGTACGAGCAGGTGGAGGAGCAGAAGGAGAGGAGAGGGAGAAGCAGGCTCCCAGCTGAGCAGGGAGTCCAATGTGGGGCTCGATCCCAGGACCCTGGAATCCTGGGATCCTGACCTGAGCTGAAGGCAGTAGCTTAACCGACTGAGCCACCCAGGCATCCCTATAAAACTTTATTTTAAAAGCCAAGAAATTTAAACCTCAAACATAAGACTTATTATTAACTCATGATAATCTTCCATAATGAGTCTGAATGGATGAGAATTTTATTTTTAATCCAAAGAACTGTTCTACAGTAGTTTGACAGAACTGTGAGATGACTGTAACAGAACTAGTACAAATAACAAAACAGGGAATACTCATTTTGAACAAATCTGATAATCAATTCTTTAAATAAGACATTCTGTTTAAGAAGGAAATTAACCTGAAGTTGCAAAGCTAAGGAATGTAATCTATGGTAAATAAGACTATTACAGGCACTTAAGAAAAAAAATGGCAAGCCCATTTATTTGTACAATTTAGCAGACCTTTACTGAACATGAAGCTATGAGCTATGCATTGAGGATTAGATTTTTTACATGAGGGACGGTGGGACAGGAGACTAGTCTGCCTTTGAAAAGCCCTCAAAAAACTAGGAATAGAAGTTCCTCAACATGATAGAGGGCATTTATTAAAAACCCACAAATGACATCATACTCAAAGGTGAAAGAATGAAACCTTTCCCCTTAAGATGAGAAATAAGACAATGATGCTTTCACCACTACTGTTCAATATTGTGCTGGAAGTCCTACCAGAGGGGTTAAGAAAAAGAAACATAACATCATGCATCAGAATGAGAAAAGAAGTAAAACTATCTCTATTTGCAGATGACATAAGCCTAGATGTAAAAATCTCAAAGAATGAAGAAAAAACCACCACCAGAGCTAATAAATCAGCAAAGTGCAGGGTACAAAATCAACCCACAAAAATCAGTTGTGTTTCTATACACCAGCAATGAACAATCTAAAAAGGATATTAAGAATACAATTCCATTTATAATAGAATCCAAAAGAATAAAATACCTAGAAATAAATTTAACCCAGGAAATGACTTGTACACTAAAAACTACAAAACAGTGCTAAGGAAGTTAATCAAAACTAATTAAATGAAAAGACTTCTATGTTCTATTGATATGTAGATATTTGCTGTAGACTGGATTAGTAGACTTAATGTTGTTAAGAGGGCAATCCTCTCCAAAGTCATCCATATAGTCAATATAATCCTGATCAAAATACAAATGGTCCATTTTGCCAAAATGGGGAAAAAAATTACAAAACAGTATCGAAAAAGAAAAAACAAAGTTATAGGACTCTCACTTATTTCAAAACTTACTAC